CCCCCATCAAAAGGTAATTTTTGCCAAGTGCAGTGGTGCATACTGTAATCCCCGTGGCTTGGGAGTCTGAGGCAGGGGGATGGCAAGTTCAAAACCAGCCTCAGCAATTTAGTGAGGTCCTAAGCAACTTAGCAAGACCCTGTCTCTAAATAAAATATAAAAAGGGCTGGGGATGTGGTTCAGTGGTTCAGTGCCCCTGGGTTCAATCCCCAGTACAAAAAAAAAGTAATTTTTCAAAACTAAACATTGTCAAATGGGCTCACTGCATCTTTGGGAATTATGCCAGGGTTCAAGTTAATTTGCCTGAGGGAGTCAGGTGGCTGACAAGGCTGGTGAGAAAGAGAACATGAGAAACAGATACACAGTTGAAGACAAAGGATAGTGGGATATGATTATTGTTGGAAGCAGAAATGCTTAATAATACAGAAGATGATAAAACTATAATTTGGGGGGACTGCTTTCTATATCAGAACAAAATCACTTTCATCTGATCAGTTTCCTACTAGTCCAAGGCTAAATTGACACAATCTGAATGCTAATCAGTAGTTAAATCTGATTCTTAAGCAAGCTCAAGATACTAAAGAGACAGGTAGCCATTTTGGAAATCTGATTTCCAAATTTTGAATCATTTTCCTTAATAGTCAATAACTAAACATTTCTGTAAATTGCTTCCACTTCTCTCTCCCTATTTTTTTTCCTCTTTCTAAACCACTTCAGTAAGGAAGATGGACATGATATTTTGAACTTTTTACGTTGCAAAGACATTTGGACAGAATCCCAAGGTGATGGGAAACATAGGTGTCCCTGAAACCCCAGGGCTAAGAGCCCCTCATGGCTTTCAGGGAACTGGGCTGATGGCCACATGTCCTTCTGGCATAGTTCCTGGACCTTAGAGCTGTAAATGGCCAAGAGCAGACCTGCAGGCGTTTCCACCCATCTCTCTTCACCCAACCAATCTGTTATAAATGAGCTGACCTGTGATGGAGACCAGACCCATGTGGAAAACAGCTGGCTACTAAGAATTTATCTGCTCAGCTCCAAACAGGCAAGAGCTCTGCGCCCTTGGAGACTGAGGTCCCTAATGAATCAATGAAACTTGAACATAGAAACCTTTCACATGTGTAATCCCTGAATTGCAAGCATCCCAAATCAAGTGTTCCTGGCATCTGGGGTTGACAGCTTTCTGACACAGAGCCATCAGGTAAATTGTGATACTTACTAGCTTTCTGATGGCATGGAGATTTATGAATATGGTAAATAGCCTTTGAGAAGCCAGCCCAGGGACTGCTACACTAAGGCAAATTGTTAAAATGAAGAGAACTAGAAGTTTTTCACTGAACCTTAATGGCACAGTAAACCTTGTTTGCAAAAGTTCCTAATGGTAATAAGTCACTACTGAATTAAATATGATTTTCCTGTGTATAAGCCCCATGCTGGATGAAATGTAGACACCTAACTGATGATTCCCTGTGTGAATCAGCACATGTGGAATGCTCAAGATGCAAATGCAGAAAGCAAACAAATGCTGAGGCTTATCTGCAGGACAGATTTTATGGAAACCCCCACTCCGTTAAAATAGTGGTGGAGGAAGGGACCTCAGCCCTATCAGTCCAATGAACATGGGCCTCAAACAAATTTCAGCATATGGATGAAAATGCCATTCCCCAGTACAAACTTTTACCCACCACCTACATGCTGCATGGTAGGACCCTAAACTGACTTTTTGTCCTCAACTCTGTATAGAGGCAGAGAGAGTTTGGATTAGTCATTCACACATTGGCGATTATGAATAATGAGAATATCATTTGCAAGAAACACCCAAATAATAAGCCTAACCCCACGCCCATTGTGGAGGAGGGTGGTAATGGGGTTTATTAATGAGAGCCCCATTTGTTTTGTTCTAAAAAGAGAAAAGAACATTTCGCCAGGCATTTTACTTAACTTGAAACCAATGGATCCTCAAAACCTTTAATAAAATATATCCCAGAGTACCCAGGAGAATATTACAGCAACAATAAAGAGTGCATGATCTATTGAAGGAAGATACCAGGCAGGACATACTTGGGAATTTGCTCCCGGGTTTAGAGGGTGGAGTAGAGGTGGGTGTTCAAAGGCCCAGTTTGTTAGAATTAAAAGCATCTGACTTTGGAGGTAGAAGATTTGCATTTCCTGTTCTAGAGGCATCTTAGAGATCTGTGAGGCCTTCCCTAACTTCTAGAACTTTCTTGGCACATTTCTTCATCTATACAATCTGTAAATGCCTTTCTGTAAGATTGTTTTCCCTTCATTCCTGGACTTTGGAGGCATCGTCAACCCATAGACAAAGAGTGCTGTGCATTGAGAGGCCAAGTGACACAATTTCACTGTGAGGCTTTTGTCCCATCCCACGCCCAGCTTTCTAGGGTTGGTGGCAAGAGTCATTTCCAAAAGACCACATGGGCTCAACAAATGCTTCCTCGTTGGTGGGGGATGTTGAGTTCTTTCTGAGCATTCTGTGGTTGTATTCTGGGGATTTGAGTTTGATTCCTGGCTCTATCTCTTACTAGCTTTGGGATGCAGGTGTATGAACTCTCCAAACCTGTTTAGGTTTGTTCTGAGGATTCCCAAGGCAAAGTATGTCAAGGACCACAGCATAGTGCCTGAGCAGAGTTGCTCCCATTTATTGAGTGCTTACTGTTACACATTTGAATGACAGTTCCAGAGCTCCTACTGTTTGCCAAATGCTAGGCAAGAGGTAAGACACAAAGGAGAATGAGTCATCATGCTTAGAGTGAAGGATCTTGACAATTTAGAGAGAGAAGAGGACACATAAGAGGGCAAGTACAGCACAGTATGGAATTCATAGCCCAAAAGTGAATTGAGGGTACCCTGGGAACACACAGGAAAGGGCCCCCCAAGCTCACCTCAGGTCCCTAGGGGAAGCCTTCTGGAGGAGGCCACATGTCCTCTAGGTCTGAAGGAGGAGCAGTGCTGTTTGACTCTGGTCAGGCAAACCTGAACTTCGGTGAGACTGTTTCCCTCCCTGTGAATGGCAAAGTCCAAGGCCCAGCAGGCTCTGAGGATAGGTTCTGTCACTCCCTCTGTTCCAAGTGTTGGGGAAGGCGAATCAGGGAAAGCACAACACCTGTGTGCATGTGCGTGTGTGTGTGTGTGTGTGTGTGTGTGTGTGTGTGTGTGTGTTTAAAAGTTTCCCAAGAAATAAGCAAAGAGTATTCATTATTACCTCTTGTAAATCACAAGCAGAAAATCAGCTCTAATTTCTTTCCCCAAATGCTTCACCTTTTATCAGTATTTAATTTCTTTCTTTCTTTCTTGTACCAGGGATTGAACTCAGGGGCACTCAACCACTGAGCCATATCCCCAGCCCTATTTTGTATTTTATTTAGAGACAGGGTCTCACTGAGTTGCTTAGCATCTCTCTGTTGCTGAGGCTGGCTTTGAACTTGTGATTTTCCTGCCTCAGTTTCCGAGCTGCTGGGATTACAGGCATGCACCACCAGACCTGGTCTTTTGTCAGTTCTCATTACCACCATTATCATCATCATCATAGTCATCATCATCATTGCTCTGTTCTATGTAAAGCAGTGTATTGGGGGTGGGAGATAGGGTCAAGCCAGAGCTGGGGTCTGGAGTCTCAGTGGAAAGTCTCAGTGGAAGGAGGGAGGGTCCATCCTGGAGTCTTCCTCTTTCTTCCTCACTCCCCCACCTCCCACTTCCATTTGTATTTCTAACTTCCAGTCATTCTTGGCCCACCATTGACTCAGGGTTCACTGTCTTGGATTTTAACCATTGGTGCTCCAGCCAAGAAGGAAAAGAATCTGGGGGACCATGAAAATGTGTTACTGCTAGAAACTCTGTGTCCTCCTTGGAGCTGACCTTTCATGTGTCCCACAGAACAAGCATCCTGGGGGTGTCTGCTGATGCCAGACCCTGAGGACTCACCTGTCTGCATCCCCCAAGGTTATGGTGGTAATGTCACTCTTACTCTTGTCAGTCAGTTAGACCCACTAGCAAGGGTTTTATTTGGAGACGTCTTTAGAGGTTTGCAATAGTTGAAGGTAGTTATTTAAACTATTGCTTCCAGTGTTTCTAACCTTCCAATAACAGCAGGAGGTGAGGTTGAGCTGTAAGGACTGTTCTCTGCCTGCTACCACATCTTCCAGCTCTTTAGGATGTGATGAGCAATGTCATATGCCCGGGACATGAGGTGACCAGTAGAACATGCTCTCTGACTTTTGTCACCAAGGTCTCAAGACCTCTCCTAGGTCTATACCCAAAGGACTTAAAAACAGCTTACTACAGGGACACAGCCACATCAATGTTTATAGCAGCACAATTCACAATAGCTAAACTGTGGAACCAACCTAGATGCCCTTCAGTAGATGAATGGATAAAAAAATGTGGCTTTTATACATAATGGAATATTACTCAGCACTAAAAGAGAATAAAATCATGGAATTTGCAGGTAAATGGATGGAGTTAGAGAAGATAATGCTAAGTGAAGTTAGCCATTCCCAAAAAACCAAATGCTGAATTTTATTTTAATATAAGGAGGCTGATTCATAGTGGGGTAGGGAAAGGGAGCATGGGAGGAATAGAGGAACTCTAGATAGGGCAGAGGGGTGGGAGGAGAAGGGAGGGGACATGGGGTTATTAATGATGGTGGAATGTGATGATCATTATTACCCAAAGGACATGTATGAAGACACGAACAGAGGTATGAAAAATTGTGCTCTATATGAGTAACAAGAATTGTAATGCATTCTGCTGTCATGTATAAATAAAAAATTACATTAAAAATGCAAAGTTAAAAAAAAAAAAGACTGTCAAGTCTTGGTTTGGTCTTCTTCTGCCTTTCTCATTTTGAGGTCTGGGCTTTGCCTGACCCACAGGGCAGGGTTTTGGAGGTGCCAACACCTTCACAGAGGGGTGTGATGAGGGGGGCAGCCGGCAGTGGCCGCCCTCCCTCACCTGTGCCTCTCTTTCCCCGTTCTCTCCAGGAGTGGCCGAGCCGACCTGGCAGCCATATACCACGAGCGCATCGACGTGGAAGGCCACCACTATGGTCCTTCATCGCCACAGAGGAAAGACGCCCTCAAGGCCGTGGACACCGTCCTGAAGTACATGATCCTGTGGATCCAGGTGACTTAAAGCAGGGACAGCTGGCCTGGCACTGTCCTGTCACTCTCTAGTCTCCGTGGCTGTCACCCCCTCAGCATCTTCCTTCTTACCTGGCCAGCCGAGGCTCTCCCTTCTTCACGCCACTCCCCCTGAGGTACCCGGAGACCCTTCCGCAGTGGGCCAGTGGGGTTGAAGTGACCAGGGTGAGCATTATCACCTGGCTTGGCCGGAGAGCTGGCCGAGTTCTTCAGAACCTGCATGCGGGTGGTAACCAGCCTGGTGGGGACACAGGAGCCACACCTGGGTTCAAAACACCTGTTTTGTTTTCATTCTTGTTTGTTTTTGGTTTTCTTTCCTTTCCATTTTTTTTTTAAATATCTGTAATGTGAGCAGATGATTATTCTCAGATTACCACACGAGTTCGTTGAAAGAGTGAGTGAAAATAAAAACAGTGTATACCTTAAAAAGCTAGAAGTCTGTTCTTATTTTTCAGCATGTGTTTGGATGGGGGCTGTGCTCTCCTCTCCTCTCCACTAAAGTGTTCTGCCATGATTTTGAACTGCGTCTCATCAGGATAAACCAGTGGATGACTAAATTTGGAATTGAGGAAATATCCCTTTTCCTACAAATTGTAATTTGTTTGTTTGTTTATTTATTGTACTGGAGATGGAACGCTCTACCACTGAACTACATCCCCAGCCCTTTTCATTTTTTTTTAGACAGGGTCTCACTACATTCCCGAGGCTGGCCTCAGACTTGTGATCCTCCTGCTTCAGCCTCCTGAGTTGCTGGGGTTACAGGCATGTGCCACTGCACGCAGCTAATTTGTAGTTTAAAAACCTCTACATGAGACTTGTGTGTGTAAGAGCCTCTCTAGGTGCTGTGGTGACTGCCTTTGCCCACCCCACAGGAGCGGGGCCTGCAGGACGACCTGAATGTCATCATTTTCTCAGATCATGGAATGACGGACATCTTCTGGATGGATAAAGTGATTGAGCTGAGCGAGTACATCAGCCTGAATGACCTGCAGCAAGTGAAGGACCGGGGGCCTGTTGTGAGCCTGTGGCCCGCCCCTGGGAAGCATTCTGAGGCAAGAAATACCGTCATGGGGGGAGGGGTGGAAAATGCATCCTAATTTGACCCAAGGTGCTTTATCTTCTCCTATAATTTTTTTTTCAAGTTTACTTGTATTTTATTTTACTTTATTTTATTTTAATTTTTTTATTGTTGGTTGTTCAAAACATTACATAGTTCTTGATATATCATATTTCACACTTTGATTCAAGTGGGTTATGAACTCCCATTTTTACCCCGTATACAAATTGCAGAATCACATCAGTTACACATCCATTGATTTACATATTGCCATACTAGTGTCTGTTGTATTCTGCTGCCTTTCCTATCCTTTACTATCCCCCCTCCCCTCCCCTCCCCTCTTCTCTCTCTACCCCCTCTACTGTCATTCATTTCTCCCCCTTGTATTATTTTCCCCTTTCCCCTCACTTCCTCTTGTATGTACTTTTGTATAACCCTGAGGGTCTCCTTCCATTTCCATGCAATTTCCCTTATCTCTCCCTTTCCCTCCCACCTCTCATCCCAGTTTAATGTTAATCTTCTTCTCATGCTCTTCATCCCTACTCTGTTCTTAGTTACTCTCCTTATATCAAAGAAGACATTTGGCATTTGTTTTTTAGGGATTGGCTAGCTTCACTTAGCATAATCTGCTCTAATGCCATCCATTTCCCTGCAAATTCTATGATTTTGTCATTTTTTAATGCAGAGTAATACTCCATTGTGTATAAATGCCACATTTTTTTAATCCATTCGTCTATTGAAGAGCATCTAGGTTGGTTCCACAGTCTTGCTATTGTGAGTTGTGCTGCTATGAACATCGATGTAGCAGTGTCCCTGTAGCATGCTCTTTTTAGGTCTTTAGGAAATAGACCTAGAAGGGGAATAGCTGGGTCAAATGGTGGTTCCATTCCCAGCTTTCCAAGAAATCTCCATACTGCTTTCCAAATTGGCTGCACCAATTTGAAGTCCCACCAGCAATGTACAAGTGTACCCTTTTCCCCACATCCTCGCCAGCACTTGTTGTTGTTTGACTTCATAATGGCTGCAAATCTTACTGGAGTGAGATGGTATCTTAGGGTGGTTTTGATTTGCATTTCTCTGACTGCTAGAGATGGTGAGCATTTTTTCATGTACTTATTGATTTATTGTATGTCCTTCTCTGAGAAGTGTCTGTTCAGGTCCTTGGCCCATTTGTTGATTGGGTTATTTGTTATCTTATTGTCTAATTTTTTGAGTTCTTTGTGTACTCTAGATATTAGGGCTCTATCTGAAGTGTGAGGAGTAAATATTTGTTCCCAGGATGTAGGCTCCCTATTTACCTCTCTTATTGTTTCTTTTGCTGAGAAAAAACTTTTTAGTTTGAGTAAGTCCCATTTGTTGATTCTAGTTATTAACTTTTGTGCTATGGGTGTCCTATTGAGGAATTTGGAGCCTGACCCCACAGTATGTAGATCGTAGCCAACTTTTTCTTCTATCAGACACCGTGTCTCTGATTTGATATCAAGCTCCTTGATCCATTTTGAATTAACTTTTGTGCATGGCGAGAGAAAGGGATTCAGTTTCATTTTGTTGCATATGGATTTCCAGTTTTCCCAGCACCATTTGTTGAAGATGCTAACCTTCCTCCATTGCACGCTTTTAACCCCTTTATCAAATATAAGATAGTTGTAGTTTTGTGGATTGGTTTCTGTGTCCTCTATTCTGTACCATTGGTCCACCCGCCTGTTTTGGTACCAGTACCGTGCTGTTTTTGTTACTATTGCTCTGTAGTATAGTTTGAAGTCTGGTATCGCTATACCGCCTGATTCACACTTCCTGCTTAGCATTGTTTTTGCTATTCTGGGTCTTTTATTTTTCCATATGAATTTCATGATTGCTTTCTCTATTTCTACAACAAATGCCGTTGGGATTTTGATTGGCATTGCATTAAACCTATAGAGAACTTTTGGTAATATCGCCATTTTTATGATGTTAGTTCTGCCTATCCATGAACAGGGTATATTTTTCCATCTTCTAAGATCTTCTTCTATTTCTCTCTTTAGGGTTCTGTAGTTTTCATTGTATAAGTCTTTCACCTCTTTTGTTAGGTTGATTCCCAAGTATTTTATTTTTTTTGAGGATATTGTGAATGGAGTGGTTGTCCTCATTTCCATTTCAGAGGATTTGTCGCTGATATACAGGAATGCCTTTGATTTATGCGTGTTGATTTTATATCCTACCACTTTGCTGAATTCATTTATTAGCTCTAATAGTTTCTTTGTAGACCCTTTTGGGTCTGCTAGGTATAGAATCATGTCAGCTGCAAAGAGTGATAATTTAAGTTCTTCTTTTCCTATTTTTGTGCCTTTAATTTCTTTCGTCTGTCTAATTGCTCTGGCCAGTGTTTCGAGAACTATGTTGAACAGAAGTGGTGAGAGAGGGCATCCCTGTCTTGTTCCAGATTTTAGAGGGAATGCCTTCAGTTTTTCTCCATTCAGAATGATGCTAGCCTGAGGCTTAGCATAGATTGCTTTTACAATATTGAGGTATGTTCCTGATATCCCTATTTTTTCTAGACTTTTGAACATAAAGGGATGCTGTACTTTGTCGAATGCTTTTTCTGCATCTATCAAGATGATCATTTGGTTCTTATTTTTAAGTCTATTGATGTGGTGAATAACATTTATTGATTTCCGTATATTGAACCAGCCTTGCATCCCAGGGATGAATCCAACTTGATCATGGTGCACAATTTTTTTGATATGTTTTTGTATCCGATTCGACAGAATTTTATTGAGGATTTTTGCATCTAGGTTCATTAGAGATATTGGTCTGTAGTTTTCTTTCTTTGAAGTGTCTTTGTCTGGTTTAGGAATCAGGGTGATGTTGGCCTCGTAGAATGAATTTGGAAGTTCTCCCTCTTTTTCTATTTCCTGAAGTAGCTTGAAAAGTATTGGTATTAGTTCCTCTTTAAAGGTTTTGTAAAACTCTGCTGTATACCCATCCGGTCCTGGGCTTTTCTTAGTTGGTAGTCTTTTGATGGTTTCTTCTATTTCCTCAATTGATATTGGTCTGTTTAGGTTGTCTATATCCTCCTGACTCAATCTGAGCATATCATATGACTTAAGAAATTTATCTATGCCTTTACTATCTTCTAATTTATTGGAGTATAAGGATTCGAAATAATTTCTAATTATCTTCTGTATTTCTGAAGTGTCTGTTGTGATATTGCCTTTTTAATCCCGTATGCTAGTAATTTGAGTTCTCTCTCTTCTTCTCTTCGTTAGCATGGCTAAGGGTCTGTCGATTTTATTTATTTTTTCAAAGAACCAACTTTTAGTTTTGTCAATTTTTTCAATTGTTTCTTTTGTTTCGATTTCATTAATTTCAGCTCTGATTTTAATTATTTCTTGCCTTCTACTTCTTTTGCTGTTGTTTTGCTCTTCTTTTTCTAGGATTTTGAGATGAAGTATGAGATCATTTATTTGTTGGTTTTTTCTTTTTTTAAGGAATGAACTCCAAGCAATGAATTTTCCTCTTAGAACTGTTTTCAATGTGTCCCATAGATTCCGATATGTTGTGTCTGTGTTTTCATTTATCTCTAAGAATTTTTTAATTTCCTTCTTGATGTCTTGTATAACCCATTGATCATTCAGTAACCTATTGTTCATTCTCCAAGTGATGCATGATTTTTCCTTCCTTCTTTTATCATTGATTTTTAGTTTCATTCCATTATGATCAGATAAGATGCATGGTATTATCTCTACTCCTTTATATTGTCTAAGAGTTGCCCTGTGACATAATATATGATCTATTTTTGAGAAGGATCCATGTGCTGCTGAGAAAAAAGTGTAACTGCTTGATGTTGGGTAGTATATTCTATATATGTCAATTAAATCTAGGTTATTAGTTGTGTTATTGAGTTCTATGGTTTCCTTATTCAACTTTTGTTTGGAAGATCTGTCCAGTGGTGAGAGAGGTGTGTTGAAGTCTCCCATGATTATTGTATGGTGGCCTATTAGACTCTTGAACTTGAGAAGAGTTTGTTTGATGAACATAGCTGCACCATTGTTTGGGGCATATATATTTATGATTGTTATGTCTTGTTGGTGTATGGTTCCCTTGAGCAGTATGTAGTGTCCCTCTTTATCCCTTTTGATTAACTTTGGCTTGAAATCTATTTTATTTGATATGAGTATGGACACTCCTGCTTGTTTCCGAAGTCCATATGAGTGATATGATTTTTCCCAACCTTTCACCTTCAGCCTATGTATGTCTTTTCCTATCAAATGCGTCTCCTGTAGGCAGCATATTGTTAGGTCTTGATTTGTGATCCATTCTACTAGCCTGTGTCTCTTGATTGGTGAGTTTAAGCCATTAACATTTAGGGTTATTATTGAGATATGGGTTGTTCTTCCAGCCATATTTGTTTATTTATGTTACTAAACATGGTTTGTTTTCCTCTTTGATTATTTTCCCCCCTTTAGTGTCCTACCTCCCACTGTTGGTTTTCATTGTTATTTTCCATTTCCTCTTCCTGTAATGTTTTGCCGAGGATGTTTTGAAGAGATGGTTTTCTAGCTGCAAATTCTTTTAACTTTTGTTTATCGTGGAAGGTTTTAATTTCATCTTCCATCCTGAAGCTTAATTTTGCTGGATACACAATTCTTGGTTGGAACCCATTTTCTTTCAGTGTTTGAAATATGTTATTCCAGGATCTTCTAGCTTTCAGAGTCTGTGTTGAAAGATCAGCTGTTATCCTGATTGGCTTACCCCTAAATGTAATCTGCTTCCTTTCTCTTGTAGCTTTTAAAATTCTCTCCTTATTCTGTATGTTGGGCATCTTCATTATAATGTGTCTAGGTGTGGATCTCTTATGATTTTGCACATTCGGTGTCCTGTAGGCTTCTATGATTTGGGATTCTGTCTCATTCTTCAAGTCTGGGAAGTTTTCTCATATTATTTCATTGAATAGATTGCTCATTCCTTTGGTTTGAACCTCTATCCCTTCCTGTATCCCAATAACTCTTAAGTTTGGTCTCTTTATGTTATCCCATATTTCTTGAATGTTCTGCTCATGGTTTCTTAACAGTCTTGCTGAGCTGTCTATGTTCTTTTCAAATTGAAATACTTTGTCTTCATTGTCTGATGTTCTATCTTCTAAGTGTTCTACTCTACTGGTAGTATTCTCAATTGAGTTTTTAAGTTGGTTTATTGCTTCCTGCATTTCTAGGATTTCGGTTTGTTTGTTTTTTATAACCTCTATCTCCCTGTATAGTTGATCTTTTGCTTCTTGGATTTGTTTATGTAATTCATTGTTGAAGTGATCTTTCATTGTCTGATTTTGCTGTCTGATGTCTTCCTTGAGACTCCAGATCATCTGAAGCATGTATATCCTGAATTCTTTATCTGACATTCCATCTGCTGCAGCTATTACCTCTTCTAACGTTGAGTTGACCTGCATTGCTTGTGGTCCTTTCTTTCCTTGTCTCTTCATACTGTTCGCGTTTCTTTCTGCTTGGTGAAACTGTTGTGCTATTGAGTTTTCCCCCTATATATTTATATTGCTCTTGTATAGTTGCAAAGTCTCCCTCACAGGCGCACGCGGCGGCTCTGCCCCTCCTCCAATTGGGGCAATGTGCCTACCACGCCGGCAGGCCGCTGGGCCTGTTCTGCCGGTCGGTAGCAGGTCCACCTACCTTGCAGGTGCAGGTGGCGGCTCTGCCCCTCTGCGGGCCGCTGGGCTTTTTCTGTTGGTGGTCGCAGTTCTGCCTACTTTGCAGGCACGGGCAGCGCACTGCCCGTCTGCAGGACACTGGGCCTGTTCTGCCGGTGGGTCGCAGGTCCACCTACCTTGAAGGTGCGGGGGGGGGGGCGGCTCTACCCTTCCGCTGGCCGCTGTGCCTGTTCTGCCTGTCGGTTGCAGGTCTGGCCTGTTCTGTTGGTGGTCGCAGGTCCGCCTACCTTGCAGGCGCGGGGGGAGGGGGCGGCTCTGCCCCTCAGCAGGCCGCTGGGCCTGTTCTGCCAGGGGGTCGGAGGTCCGCCTACCTTGCAGGCGTGGTTGGCAGCTCTGCCCCTCTGCGGGCCACTGGGCCTGATCTGTCGGTGGTCACAGTTCCGCCTACCTTGCAGGCGCCGGGGGAGGGGGCGGCTCTTATAATTTTTTTAATTTAATTTTTTTGGGGGGAGGTACAGGGGATTAACCCAGAGTGCTTAACCACTGAGCCTCATCCCAAGCCCTTTTTTGAGATGGGGTCTTGCTAAGTTGCTTCGGTCCTTGCTAAATTGCTGAGACTGGCATTACATTGGCTTTTTTTTTTTTTTTTTTTTTGTGGTGCTGGGGATTGAACCCAGGGCCTTGTGTATGTGAGGCAAGCACTATACTGACTGAGTCCTCTCCTATAGTTTTAATATTGAAATATATTTTAGCATTAGGTGCTTAGACTGTGAAGGCAGGTGACCTAGTTTGCCATTTACTCACCAAGTGATCAAGTGGTTCATTTTCCCTGGCTCCATCCTTCTCTAGAATGGTATCTACCCCAGTGGTTTCTCTGTAATGATATCTACTTTATAAAAGTCAAATAAATTCAAGGATGTGCAGTACTCAGCAGGCGACCAGCACACGTGGCAAGCCCTGATTAAGGCTATTTTATTATTGGCTAAAAAGCATTATTTGTTAGGTAAATAAGGGGACTCGCTGAGGCAGACAGAATGCTCTTTCTCTGGAAAGAAGCTGTTTTCAGCAGGGAACTGGAGATATGAACGTGCTGAACCACAGAGGGAGGCCCCGTGTGCAGAGGCTCGGGTCTCTATCTCAGAGCCACAGCCCTGGGGTCCGAATGCCAGCTCTACCATCATCTGAGCATCAGGCAAAACACTTACCCAGGATCTCTGTTGCTTTTCTATATGTTGATGTGACAACATCATTACAGTTGTCCCTTGCTACTACTGAGAGTTCACGGGAGCTCACAGAAGTGTGCTAGGCCCTCTGCAATGATGCTGCATGGGTCTCTTATTATGATGATCACTGTCTAAGTGGAATGTCCTCAAGAGGGTGGTTGAGTCTCCACAGTGTGCTGATGGGGGACAAAGCTCTGCCGCTACCTTTCTGGAAAACCTTGAGGTGATTAGACCTTGAGTACCATTTTCTCAAAACAATAATTGTGCCTGGAAGTAGGTGGGAAGCCATTTAGAGAAAATGGAGAAGTGTCACCTTTGACTTACCACTTGACTCTCCAGTTGCTGGTATCTCCCTGTACAGGCTAGGGAGCTTCTGCCCAGGCCCAGATAAAACTGATCGGGACCAGGAAGAAGCTGTCTTTCTCAGGGAAGGTGAGGCCGCTGCTGGTTAAGGTTGTCAACCATAAGGAGCCAGGAAGAGGCCCTGGGGCCACTGGCTCCATCCATCTTGTGGCACGAGGCTATTAGTGCTCAATACTTAGTCTCATTGGTGGGAGACAGTTGGCAACAATGTCAGGACTCCCCAGACTCATGCCATTTCCCTGGGAGTGGGAGGTGCTCCTCTCTTCTCAGGCTCTGTGGTCAGAGAACGAAGGTGCTGGCTATGTTCACACAACGTCCCCATGAATTCCCTAAATATGCCATCGAAAAGGGTATTTTTCACATGGGCAGGTTCTTGAGAGGAGTTCTGTTTTCTTGGTGAGGAAGATCATCTTTGTCTCCAATTGGCACTTAGAAGAGTGCCGTCTCCACAACACTCGGCACCAGCAGCCTACAAGCTGGGAAGAGCTTTGTCGAATGTGATGTTTAAGTCAAGTGACCTTTAGCCTGCAAGCAGTCTATAGCAGTCACTAGATTGCTCAAAAGTTGGGTGACAGTTTGTCAGGTGTCAGGCACAAGAGTTTGCAAGGCCTCTTGTGTGTCTCCAGATTTTCATTTACTCCAAATCCTCCTGCATGTGAATCCTACTTTCCTGAAGAACTCTGGGTTTTCTTAAGTATCATAGCTTAACTTGTGGGCTCATCAGAAACCCTCTGCTAAACATCCTAAAGACTAATTCTTTTTCACACTTGAGTTGATAAACTCAATTTTATATTCAGCAATACAGAGGAATGTATGCCCGGTTTGGCTAAAGACCAGCAAGTCAACATCAGCCAGTTGATTTTAATGTTAACTATAAATATTTAAGCTGCTGCTAAATATTGAACAGATGTACCAAGTTTATGTTTTTGTTATGAAATCATTGATGTAGTTAACAAACAATTACTAGTATTTTTTATTTATATATGACAGCGGAATGCATCACAATTCTTATTATACATATAGAGCACAATTTTTCATATCCCTGGTTGTATACACAGTATATTCACACCAATTTGTGTCTTCATACCTGTACTTTGGGTAGTAATGATCATCACATTCCACCATCATGAATAACCCCATGCCCTCTCCCTTCCCCTCCCACCCCTCCGCCCTATCTAGAGTTCATCTATTCCTCCCATGCTCTCCCTCCCTACCCCACTATGAGTCAGCCTCCTTAAATCAGAGAAAACATTCGGCGTTTGGTTTTTTGGGAATGGCTAACTTCACTTAGCATTATCTTCTCTAACTCCATCCATTTACCTGCAAATGCCACGATTTTATTCTCTTTTATTGCTGAGTAAAATTCCATTGTGTATATATGCCACATTTTTTTTTTTATCCATTCATCTATCGAAGGGCATCTAGGTTGGTTCCACAGTTTAGCTCAACTACTAGTACTTTTAAGATTCATGTGTAGGTAGGATATGCTCCTTAGGTCAGGTTAAAGAGTGCATGCTTTTTCTTTGATCTTTAGGGTATTTAACATTAAGATAATTCCTCATTTGTCTTTCAATTTTATTGTACAAAATTTTGACATCAATAAATTTTTGCAAAGTGCTCACTAGTTGTTGAGTGTATAAAAAGGATTATCATAATGTGTACAACATACAAAGAATGATATTGTAACAGTTTCCTTATATTCACTGAATATTTAAGAAGTACAACATTACTATTATTGGTGACATCACTTTCATGTCCTTCTGAAACCTATCACCTTTTCTAGTCTCAGAAGAAATCACTTTCCTAAATTTTAAGTTACCATTTTTGCAATTCTCTTTATAGTTTTGCCGTATGTATTGTTTGTTTTTATAGGTTACTTGAACTTTATATAATAAAAATGGTATTGCCTGTATTTTTCTGCAACTTGCATAATTTTCCTCAAACTGAGATCCCTTTTTCTTTGTAGCAGTATTCCATTCATCTGTGTAGTATTCTACCACAAACCTCAGCAGTCTTTCTTTATCCCTTCCACTGTGGCTGGGCGTCTGGGCTCTTCTGTAGGTTTATAGGTCCAGGCACATGAGAGATTATCTATCCCTAGGGATGAACTTCTTAGATCACAGGGACATGGATCTTCAGCCTTACTAGATAAGGTCAGCCTATTTTCAAAGCTGTATAAAACCCTCTCATTTTTACATGGTCAAATCTACCAGATGTTTGGTAATATCTCTGCTTGGTCTTTAAAATAGATTCTCCCATTCCATAGATTCAATATATTGAAGAAAGAGAATGCAAAACTGGTTGTTCTCTGTTTTCTTTGCAGATATATGACAAACTGAGCCAAGTGGAACACATGACCGTGTATGAGAAGGAAGCCATACCAAACAGGTTCTATTACAAGAGAGGGAAATTTGTCTCTCCTTTGACTTTAGTGGCCGATGAAGGGTGGTTCATAGCAGAGGTAATTATAAAACACACCACACCTTGTTCATGCTACAAATTCTGCTCTGACACATAAGAGATGTCTCCACCGAGGTATCGTTCCTGGCATTCTTTCCTTTCTAGGGGAATCAAAAGCCTCCATCAGGTGACTTTGTGGACACAAACTGCAGACGCAAACCCAGGGTCACGGTTTAGACTCCGTGGCACCAGCCTCGCTGGAGTTTAACAAACAGGCCTTAACTCAATTATTGCTGCTTTCCATGTAACCTGTTCTGTTTAAAGCGGAACAATTACTGTGAACCCAAGCAATTGCTCTGGGGAAGTAGAAAGTGGAGAGAAGCTCATTGCTTTCACCTTTAAGAGAAATGTTTGGCAGACAGGACTGTGCAGATCCAGGTCCCCCAGATGCCAGCTTGATTTCACAGGGATGATCTTGTATTTTGGGCTCCAACCCTAGTCGCCTGGTGCCTGAATGACTCCAACAGCCTCTTCCCAGTCTGCCCGATTCCAGGCTCACCAGGGTCTCGCATCAGCTTATGCTGTGGGGACCTGACCTTCAGGGGAACCTGAGGTCACATCATGTTCAGGATCAATTCCTGAAGAGGACGTGGGTTATTTTAGATATGAATTTGATGGTGGGTTGCATTTAGATCAGATGACAGGGTAGAAAAGAGCCCCATGTGAGTGGTTGTTGAGACCCATGATGATGAGACCTGAGACTCGAAATAACCCAGAAGTGGGGGAGACAGAGCAGGGGGTGACCAGGGGAAAAATATGGACTGGGTGAGTGAGTAGAAGTCCAGAGGCCTGCGGGTGGAAAAATGGGGGATCTGGGACATGAACTTCAGTTATTCAGGACCAAGTCTCTCTCCTGTGCTGGCAGGTAAAGAGGAGCCCCTAGTCCTAGAGGAACTGAGAACACAGCAGATCTCGATAGAAACTTTGGCCCCACAGTGCAGAGGCAACAGTGCCCCAGAGTGTCCCTTCCTATGCCAGGTGGTTTAGAAGGTCTCTTAGAGGGTTCCTGTGCCCACTAACACTGTCTCCCGAAGACCCAAAGCAGTTCTCCTCACTTTGTCTCACTGTTAGGAGTTCACCTGAAGGGAAGCTGTGGAGACCCCCACATGGTCCTTTATGGTGGTTTCTAGGGTTGTGCATTTAATATGCATGCACTGGGCCACCTGGGTTGATGCCTGGAGTGTGACTTGATTGGTAAACAAGCAACAGAGCTCACTTTTGCAACTTCTTTTATTTTATAAAAATTCCAGTGGAGTTGCTTTGAATTTTAAAAGTAAATAAACCATGAGGATCAATTCACAGTTTGCTTCTACTCATGTCTTAGCCTGAATATGTGAATCTATTGTTTACTTTCTCTTATTTAGCTGAAACCAAATACCCTGAAAGTTTATGGTAGAGAGGGAGACTGAAGAAAGCAGGGTGATTTGGGTAGTTTGGTGGAAAACTGGATGAGGTAGGGGAGTGCAAAGCCAGAGCTTCCCATGGATATGCTGGACGACAGCGAGGTCCATGGGAACAGCTTTGGATCCCTCTAGTAGCAGTGGGGAGGGGCTGGTGGAGTGCTCTAGCTAGGAGTGGAAGTCCAGTGACCTGGTCATGGAAAAAAGGGAGGTTCCTTCTAGGTTGGCAAGGGTTCTGTCTGGGAAGTAACTATGGTATCTCAGTAGCAGCTCATCCAGCAAGAAGATGTAGATCTTTCCAATGAGTGACTAAAGCACCACAATGAGGGAGACCTAAGTGTATCGATTAAGATGCCCTTGGTTGTAAGTCATAGGCTGTTTGAATAATGGCTGAAGTAACAAAGATTTACTCTTTTGCTTAACTGAAAGTCTAGAGGTAGGCCGTTCCAAGGTTGTTTAATTCAGACCCCAAGTTAACTCCTTTACAATTCTTCTGATTTTCCTTTTAAGGCCACAAAATGGCTGCTACAGCTCCAAGCATCACACTCCCTCAGAACATCACAAAGCAGGAAAGAAAGGGTGTAGCTTCTCTTTGCACATCTCCTACTTTTATCAAGGAGCAAAATAATAGACCCCAGAACCAGGGGTAGAAGCAGGTTTTGTGGGTCTTTGAAAATGTTGGAATTTGTGTGAGGAGAACATTCTCTTTAAGAAAAGAATACATTATGTATAGTTAAAATGCACTAATAATAAAAACATGAAAAAGTATACATAGTTATGAAAACAAAATTAGGTATAGGGACTTAGAGGAAGCTCACTCGCCTGAGAGACTCTAATGCTTAAATTTCTTGAACTGCACTCAAAACAGAAGTTCAGAAACCACTAGCAACTTCCCCCCTCTGTCTTATCAGTCATCAATGGATAGTGTGGGTAGAAAATTTCTGCCTTGGGCCAGTTTTGATTCTGGGATCTGGAACTGTGCTGTGTTGCAGACCAGGTGGCCACAGTTACTAAACAAAAGAGAGGCAGAAGCTGGGGATTAGGTAGACATGGCCCCCAAAACAAAGAAGAGCAAAGAGGAGAGAACAGTAGGAGCAACTGACCATCTCTCACATCCTGACCAGCCAAGGCCTCTCAGGACACCTTGCTTTCAGGACTCACCCCTGCAGGAAACTAGCAAATTAGAATCCTCTGAGAGTGAGGCCATGTGGTCATTGCACATGTTATATGTTACTTTTCTATGTATTGCACACACACACATATATATTCATTTGAGTAAATAAAAACTAAGAGTCAGTCAGCAGGGACTCCCCACAGCACAGAGGGGAACCTCTGGCAATGACCAGAGCAGTGTTTAAATCATTATTTTCAAAAGGGAGATTGGAGGTGATTGCAAAGATATGTGAAATAGAAAGTTAAAAAAAAGAGATCAGAAGTAAGATAAGTAGTAGGATATGAGAAAATAAGATTCATCATGTATAATTAATTAAAAAAAAGAAAATCAGATTTGCTCTCAAAGATTATTGTCAAATCGCTAATACAGAAATTCTCGATGATACTCACACACTTTTAATTAGCAAAGATGAGTACCCCCTGTGCTTGGGTCAGTAGAATCTTTAGCTGACCCTCTGTGCAAAGTTTCAGTGACATGCACATAAAGCTATTTTACATTTTGCAGATAAAAATAGAGATCACTGATTTTTTTAACTTTGGCCAATAATAACAAGAATGATAATCTCTCACTTATTTCTCTCTCTCTCTCTCTCTCTCTCTCTCTCTCTCTCTCTCTCTCTCTTTATCTCTCTTTCTTCTTTTTTTAGTAACAGGGATTGAACTCAGAGTGCTTAACTACTGAGCCACATCACCAGTCTTTTTTATTTTGAGACTGTGTCTCACTAAGTTGCTTACAACCTCACTAAGTTGCTGAGGCTGGCTTTGAACTTGTGATCCTCGTGCCTCAACCTCCCAAGCAGCTTGGATTACAGGCATGTGCCAATTCGTCATAATCACCATCTTGAATTTAGTACCTTCTTGTTGCTTTTTAACTTTTCTTTGCAATGCTGGGAATTGAACTCAGGGCCTTGTGCGTGCCAAGACAGCACTCTACCACTGAGCCGCATCCCTACCCCCTCCTGGCTACTTGCTGTAATTCTTTCAGTGACTCTGCATTGTGGATATTGCTAGTTATGCAAATAACTTATCACAACATAACATGAAATGGAACGCAAACATGGCTCAGTGCTTCCTAGCAGCAAAGAAGAAAGTACAACCAATGTCAGTAATGTCACTTACAGGGTCTGTAACATAGGAACACAGATATTTCTCTGCAAAATCATGATTGCCCCTGAGTCCCAAGGGCAATGTAGACCTCTTTTGGTCCCTCCTTTTTCTATGTTAGTTTCCTAGATTGAAGCCTTAATCATTTATTAACTTCTCTTCTTGAATTTATGCCTTTATATTTTTAAGACATCATATGCAAAAATTACAATTTCTGATTCTAATTTAAAATGATATTGGGGACATATTTATTTGTTTTCTGAAAATTCTTAAATGCCCAGCTCACAGTGGCATAGACCTGTAATCCCAGCAGCTGTGGAGGCTGAGGCAGGAGGATTGCAAGTTCAGCAACTTAGTGAGGCCCTAAGCAACTTAGATAGACACCGTCTTTACATGAAATATTAAAAAGGGCTGAGGATGTGGCTCAGTGGTTGAGAACCCCAGGGTTCAATCCCCAATACCAAAAAAACAAAACACACACACACACACACGCACACACGCACAAGTGCCCATTCTCTCCTTATTGGCTTAGACTTTGCTTCTGTAAAGTTCTAGTATTTATTATACTTTCTTGACTATGGTGAATTGAAAACTCTATTCTGTGTCCTGTTCTGTGCCAGGGCTGTTAATCTCTCACATTCCTATTTACAAAATTTGTCCCTAAATTGTACAGAATGTTGTGTTTTGCTCTGCAGCCTGCATCCCAGTCCACAATGCAATGGATGATGCTCTTGTGCTGGATTCTACTTTACGTTTGCAGGAGGGAGACATTCTCAGCCCTGCAAGCAATCTCACTAGGTCTGAGCTTGGAGAGCAGGGTCTGTTTTCAACATGATTCAGAAAACAGCTGAGTCAGGACAAATCGATGCTAGGAGGGAGCCAATTCCATCCCCCTTTCTCTTTCCTCCTACACCTGCCATCCCATAAACACGTAAGATTTGGCTTCTTTGGTAAAAATGCCCATCCCATATATACACCAACTTTCTGCCACCGATTTAAGTTTGGCAGACCCTAAGGCAGCCAACCAGGGAGAACTGACCAAGTTCATTTCTTTCTGTGGTTGCTTAAAAAAAATAAAAATAAAAAGAGGGGAAGCAGATTTAATTTGTCACCTGAAATTGTACCAGTATCCAGTGTGACTACCAATGCTGCTGTAGAAAACACACCCCCTGCCCAGCGACTCCCAGTTGGCTTCTACGCCTGCATGTTCTAATACGCAGACTGGATTGCCTGGTGCTCTCAGCCCTTTCTCAGGCCTCCCTTCCTGAAAGGACAGAAATCTGAAGGTGTTCGTGTTCCCGGAGAACTAAAATGTGGAGAAGCA